GTGTGACAGAGTGACACATGTGCGATGTGTGTGGTGCACATACCAAGGTTGCCCTTGCCCACAGACATGACAAACAGGTGCAGGCTGTTCTTGAACGCGGCGAAGCACGTCTGCTTTGATGACCACACGTCGGTTCAGGGAAGTGATCAAGCCAAAGAGCGAAAGCGAAAGCGAGAGGAAAAGAGCGAAAGCGACGAACCCGGAAGAAGAGAGGGTTCATCCGGTAGAGCGTGCCCATGGAGATGTAGGCGATGACGAGAAGGAGAGCGAAAGCGAGGATTCCTCCAGCAAGGAGAGGAGGCACCTCGTCTTCTTCGCTCTTCTCGGACGTGTCGACGTCGCCTTCGCTCTTTGCCTCCTTGCGCCGCGACGGCGGGAGCAGCTCGAGCGGGAACTCGACCGTCTCGCGGCGGGCTCCAGCGACGGGCCGCAGAAGAGGAAATTCTTCCGCTGCATCACGTCCGCAAATGGCTGTCCAATTCCCCACATAACAAACAAGCTGAGCAATCACGCGGCTTCAGGTGATGGGTGGTGGGTGGTGAAAAGTTCACCTGAAAGTAGGCAGAGGTGGAGATGAGGTTGAGTTACGGCCCGCCCGTGAAGAGGTTGGTGACGGTGAGCCCGGTGATCTGGAACCGCGTCAGGAGGCGTTCGAGGATGTGGTTGCTCTCCTTCACATACTCGCCGCCCTCGAAGCATGATGCCGCGGGCGATGATCGTCTTGCTCTTCACGTACCCACGCCACTGTGGCGCTAGACCTGTTTCATGTCGTGTGCGGTGACGCGTGTGCGTGTGCGGGGGCGCGTGTGCGTGCGGTCGCTTATTAAAGAAAGGAATCGCTCCATACGAGACGTCCGCCGTACCGGGGAAGCAGCAGACGTAGGGTCGGTTGAGGATCTTGCCAAGGAAGATGCCCCAAATGGCGCTGATGTCGTGCACGATCAGGTCGTACCGCTCCATCTTCAACTGATCGATCAAAGAAGCCTGCACGTGTCGTGTGACATGCGCGATGGTGAGGTGTAACATCCATCACCCGAGCAGAAGAAGACAAGGGCACCTACGACACGTGCAGGATATGCTCGGCAGCGTCAAGCATTCCGCGCGCAGTGTTGAAGATGTTGGTGATTTCTCTCTTCAACTTGAACTCCTCGTAGGCGTAGCTCCTGTTGGTTGCGAACGTCAGCCATTGAATTGGGCACCACACCTGCACGTGCTGACCAAAGACCTGCAGTCCACCTGGCCCTCACCTGAACTCGGCGCCGGTGGCCTTGACCTTCTCGCAGAAAGACGCTGACGCGTAGTAGACCACTTCGTTGCCCCGGAGGACCAGCTCCGAGGCCAGGTCGAGCGTGGGGTTGATGTGCCCGTGCAGTGGCACATTGAGGAACAGCACATGTATCCCGCTCGCCCTGTGATGCTGTGGCTGTGCCGTTTAGCAATACGTTATAATTTATAATATTATATTATTTGCACA